GTGGAGACCCAGGCTGAAGCTTCCCTGCCCTGGTGTCCCTGAGCCCCTTGCGCCATGGCAGGCTTCCCTGGCTCCAAGAGGGGAAGGAGGAAGCGGCCTGCCCCTCTAGGAGCTGGGGTTTTGCACTGAGGGTGTTTGCTTAATCCTGTGATGCTGAGTCCCCTTTTGGGGATGCACAGGCCCCTTTGCTGCAGCGCGGCCTTGGCCCAGGCTCAGGGCACGGTGCTGAGCTGCAACCAGTGCATATCATAGCGTAAATAAAAGGTTTTTACATCATCTCATGGTGGTTTTGATGCAGGACGGCTGTTAGGGCTGAGATCAGCGCTGGGCTCAGCCTGGCAGAGGGCACAGCAGGGAAGGGCTGGCTGAGGTCTGGGCACAGGGCAGGCAGCATCCCTGGCACCCAGTGTTTTAGGGATACCGCACAGTCTTTGGCCACCCTTTCTCTGAGATCTCTGATGTGCTCCCCCAGGCTCCCATCCTGGCTTAACCTGACTCCAATTTCGCTGCAGCGATGAACCCTCCCACCAAACTGCTTCGCCAAGATCCTGGGGATCTCGTCGCGGTCCCTGCACCATGGCTGGCCTGCTGGGGCTGGACCCGGGAGCTCAGCGGGCCGCTTGGCTGCTCTCCTGGCTGGCACGGCCTCAGCACTGAGCGGCAACTTGTGCGTCACAGGCTGGCAGGCAGGGAGCTGTGCTCGTGACACCCACACACCACGGTGCTGAGTCACGCCGGGCCGCCCGCCCCCGCACCCCAGCCCGGAGGGAGATGTGTGCCCACTGTAGTGGCCCCCCTCCTGGCACTGATCATCCACGGGGGCAGATGGGGCCCAGCAGGAGTGGAGCTGCCAAGAAAGTGCCTCGCGGCCCCCTCACCCCATGGGGAAGATGAGCCACGTGCCAGGGTTGGAAATGGGCATCTTGCCTACCCCATCCCAGGCCTGGGGATGGAGGGGGGAGCATGATGGAGGCAGTATGGCCTAGGGGGCAGAGCACCTGAGTGAGGCTGGACTAGGGCACATCCCTGTCCCATTCCCCATGGCTCTGCTGCCCTGATCCCCATCGCTTCCAACCTGGCTGGACCCAAGGGGCTGCTCTGCTCTCGGGCAGGGGGGCCCTGCGGTCCCGGCAGTGCCCCTGGAGCTCTGTACCAGGGCTGCCCCTGCCGCTCTGATATGCTGGGGCTGGGCTTTGCAGGGAGCTGTGCACCCCGTGCCTGCTCTGAGCTCAACCCAGGCAGCCACCAGCACCCCTGGGCTCTCCATGGCAGGGCTCCCGGGGCTGTCACACCAGCCCCAACACCCCCGGGCTACATGGAGGCAGGGGTGGGGGAAGCTGGATTTTATCTAGGAGTGGGCAGGGGGGGTTGTCTAATGGGGGGAGCCAGGCTTTCTGCAGGGCGAGGTGGGCGCTCCTCTTAAACAGCTGCCCAGTGATGGGCGTCAGGAAGGGTTGGCACATGCATGGACTGTGTCCTGGTTCCCTCCCCCCCGTGCCTCAGTTTCCCCACCTGAGCTGCAGGGCTGACGCTGCCCTCCCCACTGCCCTCCCACTAGTGTCATCGGTGCCGTGGGGGGCACCAGCCTCCCAGGGGCCCTTCCAGGTTGAGCCTTGCCCTGCACCCCTTTGGGAGGGGCAGTTGGTGGGGGAGGAATGGAGACAGATGGGGGCACTTTTGCCCCCTGTACCAGGGCCACGGCCTGCCGCCCAGCACAGGGCTGTCCTTGGCATGACCTTGGAGCTGAGCGGTGCCAGCTCAGGCAGGCACGTGGCTCATTAGGGACGCACCCGCGCTGGGCAGGCAGCCGGCCAAGCACTGGAGCCCATGTGCATGTGCATGTGCGTGCATGTGGCTCATATTGTGCACACAACAGGGAAGCAGGCACCAGCTATTCACATTTGCAAATGGTGCAAAATGGACCAGCTGGGACACTCCCCCCCACCCTTTTGGGGGACTTGGGGGGGGCAATTAGCAGGGGACAGGATTAGGTCTAACAGCCGTGTTAATCAGCAGCCCGGCTGCTGGGATTACAGCGGCTTATTTGTGCTGTGATTTATTATTTCTGCTTCCATCGAAGCGGCCCGGTGGGGCGGGGGGAGCCATGGGCTCCAGCAAGCCCTGCAAGTCTGCAACCCCAGGCTCCTGCCCCGTGGCCATAGGCTCAGTCACTGGGGGCCTGGCTCGGCTCTCCGTCACCCCCTGGCCAGCCTCCCTCCCGTGGCACTTTGGGGCTGGGGGTTATTGAAGGCAGCAGAGGAAGGGCTGGAGGCTCCAGGCACCGGCCCTTCCCGGAGCTGACCCCACGGCGCCCCCCAGGATGCAGCCACCACCTTCCCTCCCACGGCAGGAGGTGGCAGGTGCCAGGATCGGGCACCTCAAATCAGGCCCCTTCTTTGTCCAGGGCAGAGATGCAATCCTGTGGCTCCTACCAGCTTGCGGAGCACCTCTCCGTGAGTGCAAGGGGAGCGGGGTGGCCAGCTTCCCCCATCAGTCCCACCCCCGGGCCTGTGCTGGGGGGGTCTCCGCTCCTCCAGCCTGTCCCTGGGCACTGATGGAAGCCAGGAGCCCATAGCCACAGAGTACTGGTCCCAGCCTGCTGCTGGCAGGGGTCCACTTTGCCCAGGCTGGCCGACCCCTGGCAGCGCCCAGGCCCCGAGAGGCCTGGGGAGGTGGGGGTACCGTGAGCAGCAAACAGAGCCGGAGCCGGGCATAGCTCTGCCAGACGCTGATGTGTTTATTGCACAGGATGGGCTGGCTGACGCGGTGGGTGCCCCGTGCGGGGCGCAGCCGGCTCCGGGTGCCCACGCCCGGCTGGCACAAGGAGCTCGGGGACGGGTTATACATTCAACATGGACGGCGCGAGGGGCAGAGCGGGGCAGCTGCGTGGCTCAGACACAGATACACACACACACACCGCCTGCCCCCCACCCCCGGCCTCAAGAAAGGGGAAGGGTCCGGCTGGACGCAGGAGACGGAGGATGAGGAGGGGAATTGGGGGGTGGACAACCCCCCCAGGACTCCCCCTGCCCGTGCCAGGGCTCTCGGCTCTCAAACCACCCTGGCGGATGTCGTGCCACCCTCCTTACCCGCCTCTGGAGCTCGCCAGGGGCTCACGGCCCTGCCCAGGGCTGGGGAAGGAGGCAGGACTCGAAAACCCATCACAGCAGCTGGCACATCGCCTCTTCCCCCTGCCTTGGCCTGCAAAGTGGCGGCGGATGCAGAGAACGCCCTGCCCAGAACCCAAAGCAAGCCCGAAAGGAGCTGCCCCTTCCCCAGTCCTCAGCTCCTGCCCTGCTGGAGACCCCCCCCGGCCTGCCCTGCCCCTCGCACTCCAGGCCTGGTCCGGGGCTCTGCAGGGAGGCGCAGCATCCCCGGCTTGGGCTCCCGCGGTGCTGAGGGCTCTGCCCTAGGATCTGCTTTGGCAGCATCTTTGCCCCCCCAATGGGGAGCCCGGGCTCCCCCAACAGGAAGGAGTCTCTGGAGAGGGCCAGGGTGGAGGAAGGATGGGTGCGATGCGCCCCATCCCTCTGGGCTAGTCCAGCCCCCTTGCCCAGGCGGCGCTGTGCCACCCCGGACATGCAGACGGACACAGGACAAGGACATGCAGAACGGCCCCGCCGGTGCCACACGGAGAGCAGAGACAGCCGGGGAGCGTGGGGCGGGGGGGCTGCTCCAGGCCCGCCCCCCCCCCCCGCCTGCCCCGAGCCTCCAGCCCCGGCCCTGGGCGTGCGTGGGAACTGGCGCCCACTGCCAACCTCTGCCGCTCCCGGGCTCCCTCCTGTTCCTTGAATCCCTTAGGAAACAGGGATGGGGGGGACACCCCCCCCCCCCCCCCCCC